ACCACTGAGCAGTTCTTACCTGTAATTCTAAGCCCTCTTCTTCCTTTTCTGGTTTAAAACATCAAATTAGACTAAACAACTAGTCTAAAACCAAGAGACACTTAAATATTAAGTTAAACCTCTGGGGTCGCCGGACGCGCCGGCGCGTCAAAATCACATGACCAATTTAAGACGACACAGCTACAAGATGCAGCGATTCAGAGGCTGTATCCCAATTCAGGGCCTGCAGCCTTAAAGGCCATTTTAAGGCCGATTACGTCAGCGACACGACAAAGGCCTAAAAATAAATGTTTGTTTCAGTTCTATGAAGCTTTGAGTATTTTGGATTAGTAGCACTGCTGTGTTTGTTGCATCATATTGCTGTAATTGTTTATATGCTTTATATATTCTGAGGTAAGTTGATCTATAGTGTTACATCATATTCTATAAGGATGTTATGTGTTTGTGTACTTTCTGCCCAGTTTGACCCATTTAGCAGAAGTCAGCTTGGTTCCACTTGCCTCTTACCCGTGATTTCAGTGGAAATTTCAAATTCAGGATCTGACACACACTGATTCATGTCCTACACAGTTCTTGCAAGTTCATAGAAATTTCTGTTCAATTAGAACCAAATATTTGAGTTGATGGTTGAAATTGTTGTTTTGTTGTTGTTTTAATATCGGTCTAGCTGCACGCAGCACGCAATTGAACCACATATTTTAGAAGCCAAAGGTTCAAAATAGTTGGGAGCACCTTCACTTAATTATAACAGTGGCTCTGTTAGGAAAACAGTTCTGTATACCGATACTAAATTGCATTAAAAAGGGCGACTTGTGGTATTCTCACACTAGACACTAGATAGCTGCTACTACAGTCACACACATATACTGTTGCCTCAGTAGTCAGAGTGGCACAAAGAAAAAGTTTGTGAAATCTTTAGAGTTGGCAAAACTTCTGTTTTACTTATTTAAAATAATAGTGCAATATATACATGCAGTAATTACTCTGCAGTAATTACATCGTTTAAGAAGATGAGCATGTGTTGAATGCGTGCTCATCCATATAAATAAAGGCATACAAAGTCAGCTTACAAAAAAGTTGTGCTCAAGAAATATTGATGGGTATGAATAATGCCCAACAACAACCTTTTTACAGATGGAAGAAATTCAGGACGACTGCTCTCCTGAATAGTAGATGTCCTACAAAGACCATCGCTATGAAACCTACAAAACGTGGTACAATCTTTGCTCATATGTTCATTATAAGAAAAACCCTGAATAAGAAGGGGAAACTGCTGCTCTCTACATAAATATCCATATGCAGTGTAGAACGCTAGGTCTGAAGAAGAAACATTGAAACTTAATTTCAGCAGTCACCGCATGATGTCAGGAACATCATGGAGGGGCAAGGCCATCATTTCACCAATCAAAGGTATGCAGAGGTTCGGTGATACACTGACACAAAACAGACACAAATAACTAAAAAAAAAATTCTTATTTTCCAAATTCGGGTTTTGAAATGACCAAATGCAACATTAATGTATTTAAAAAATAAAATGTTATGACACAAAAACATTTGTCAGATGGGTGACTAACATTTACAGCCACAGTGTGTCCATTTACTGTGGATGTTCCCTAAGAGGACCATCGTCATCAGAGGCATGGTTCCCTATGGAGCACACAAGTGTGTGATTTTAAGACTACTTGCCGAAATCTCTAGTGCAGTACTAAAGTGCTAACATGAATGTTTAACGCTCATTGATGTGTGTTTCAGATTAAGGATCAACTTTTTGGTGAGCAGATCTCGAGATGTCGCTTTCCACATCCATCCGAGATTCAGGGAAGGAATTGTTGTAAGAAACAGTATGATTGGAGGAAACTGGGGCCAGGAGGAGAGAGAAATGAGCATGAATCCATTTATGGAGGGCCAGTACTTTGATGTAAGTAACATCAGTCACGCAGTCGTAATATCAAGTTCTTATGATGAATTTTAGAAGTAAATTTTAATGTGATTTTGGCAAATTCTAGATAACTTTGTGTGTTAGCATTCAAAAGTTTTCTCTCTGTCCCTCAGATGTCAATCCGTTGTGGAAACCAGAGGTTTAAGGTGTTTGTGAACGGGCAGCACCTGTTTGACTTTTTCCCATCGCTGGCAGTCCTTCAATGAGATTGACATGCTGGACATAGAAGGCGATGTGCAGATCTCCTACATCCACTTCTGATACCACCCATTAAAGAAATAAATAATTTTGTGCATCTTTCAAAAAATGTTATTTTTTTAAATAACATATTTCAAAAAAATATGTCATCCACAGAGTTGTTTATCTCAGTTTCTTACCTGCTTTGAGATCAGATATCTCAATAAGATCAAATGTCACCTCAGTATCTGCTGTATTGTTTATACCAGTTAACTGAATTAATAAATCATGAATCATTCATGAATTAACTGATTTATTTCTTATGCAAAATAGTGTATATACTGTATAAAAATTTGTTTACAAATCATTACAGTGTCAATATAAGGCAGTTATAGTACAATTTTCTCCCAATTCAAAAAAACACAACAGGAAAAATCGCAGTCGACACACACATGCACTGTAATGCAAAATACTGGCTCTGTGAAGGCACTTGGTAAAATCATGAAATTTAAGGCTTTGAATGTAAGATGGAGTTTCAGTTTTTGCTGGAATACAGTTGGAAGCTCATTTTTGGACCAAAATACTCCAAAGACACAGATATAAAACAGGAGACATATGTGCATTCAAAGTGGTATAGCATCTGAACATGGAAATTTAAACCAGTACCTCAGCCTCAGCACCACTGTTTGTGGTTCAGAAACAATGTGGTACTCCCACTGAGTCTACAGTACCAAAGCTATTACAAGAAATGTACACTTTTAACAAGAAATTTCCATAATGCTACTAGTATAACATACTATTTTATATACAAGTACCTTTGATGTATACAACTAAGAAACACAGCGCCTCACTGACATTTTTTCTCATCCTGAAATGTGTGCCAGATTATTGTCAAGGCCATTCCAATGACAAAATTATAAACTAATGCAAATACATAAAAAATAAGTGCATACTGCTGTGTCTTTCTCTTGGATTCTGCTATGTACAGCGCCAAACAAGTGGCAGGATGATGTCACATGACGAGGTTAGTGATGTTTTCCAGTCTCCCAGACTCTTCCCATCAACAGAAAATACTGCAAATGTGTCATGTTCTCTCAGGTTTGTTTTCTGCTACTAAGAATAGGAAATAACTGAAATACAACAAAAAACCCCAAACAAAAAGGATACACACATTATAAACACACACAGATACAAAAACATTAGTGCAAGTTGTAGAAATACAAAAATCAGCATTTTAAAAAAAGTGTAATAACACTGTGCTTGACATAAAAAAGTAAAGGTAAAGAGTTTATCCCATCAATTGTCATGGATAATGGATTCGTTTCCTACATCCATCCACCTGTACCTTGAATCATCTCTGTCTTCCTGATTTGACTAGTACGTCTGTCCCTCTAGAAAATCCTCAGATTCCTGAGTTATAGCAAAGATATATACATACGTGAATCAGGACATGCACATGTAACAACTGTCAGTGAGGAAAGACTTGCTTTGTTCACACTATGAATCGCTCAGTGTACTTGATGCACAACCAACAGTAAAAACCCTGGGGAAGATACAAGACTTTGTTACAGCGGCACACCGGGCTCCGATGCAAATCCTGTATTATTACTATGTTTTTTAATGAAGTACCTTTACTTTTATTTGCAATTTATTTTTAATTTTTTTAAAAGATGTATATTGGGAATAAAACCTCCACCATGGAGTGCAGCCAACACTGTGCAACTGTTGGTTGCACTCCATGGTGGAGGTTGAGCATCATGCACAACCTCCACCATGAAGTTCATATTTTGACACTTTTGACAATTTGTAAGATAATGAAAAATAGGGTCCAGTTAAGGCAATCAAGCAAGGCATTCTGAACCTCTTCAAAAACTTTCTTACTGTAGGTATTAACATAACCTTAAAAACAACAAGTTTTCTGATCAGATAATTCACCTTGTGTAAAACAGGCTCTGCTGGTTCTTTGTTCCAAGAATGAGTGGACTTTCTGCTTCAAAAAATGTTTCCTTGGGTGTGACAGGTCCTCCATACAAGTGCTGACTCACTGTAAAGTTCAAGCTTTTGGGTTTAGTCTGGCAGTGTCTGAGCTGGTTTTACCAAGAGGTTTATTTATTTTGTTTTTTTTTAGCTTAATTACTCTTTTGCATTCAGGTAGTTAAACAGAAATGGTGTGTTACGGCTAAAGCAAAAGGGAATTCATTTCACTGATTCTGCTGCAGTGTGTGTGGCATTGTAACATGTAATGTACACCTCTTCACCCTCTTATTGGTAAGGGTGTACCCAGCTGCTACAGCAAATGAAATTTTACACTCACTTGGCTCTGGATAGTGTAATAAAACTTCATAAGACAAGGTTGGCTTATAAGGCGTTTTTTCAACCCGTCATCTTATAAGAAAGGGGTTGAAAATAAAATATCAGTCCTTCATGTCCTTGGAATGAATTTGGCTGCTTGTTTATGAGTACGTCTGTGCAAACTATATATAGAGAGCCACATAAGGTTTCTTCTTGCTGTTAGAAGGAATCAGCGACGGGCTGGATTATGTTCTTTGTACTTGTACTGGGATAGCACACTTTGGCAGTGACCAGTCTTGTCATTTTTAGGCAGTGAGTCTGTCACTGCCAGGGCATTTTCTTGGATCCATTCCTGTCCTCGAGCAGCTCAACAGTTGGAGTGCGATTGGGAGTGGAGTGGCATGATGACTGTAGAGGCAATGTGGCTGTGGAGGATGATACTGGCATGTCCAGGCTCTCCATGGAGTCAGAAAGGGTTCGGTTGGTTTCGTGCTGTGGACAGAGGACATAACGGTTGGGGTGGTGGACCTCCACTGTGGTCACAGACTCCAGGCCTTTCAAGCAGAGAGGGGATGAGCGTCCAGTGGGGTCACGACCACCAACGGCTCCGAGCTCCATGGAGGACTCGTCCATGTTCACGTATAGAATCTCATCTGGATCTTGTGGGTCTGGCAGATCCTCAAGGGCTTTTTCGAGCTCACAGCGCAGTGACTCGAATGATGGACGATCTTTTGGGCTCAGCAGCCAGCAGGAGAACATCAGGGAATAGCTGGAGGAGACAAAAGAATGTTAGTGGAGAATGTACTGTTAGCATGATGACAGTGAACAGTGACATTTAATATCCCATGGTGACCAAATGTTTTTATAGAAATAAGCAGTTCTGCATTTCTATGTAATTTATTTTCCTGGACAATACTTTTAAATATCGGATAATTTCTAATAATAAGCTCTATATTTCCCACTTGATCTTAAAAGGTCCGTTTGGCTCATGTTAAATTTTGGTTTATATTTTAATACATTCCGTGTTTAAAATCCTCTTTTTTCCTCACTTCAGTTTTCTGTGCAATTATGTATAATGTCAGTGTGGCTGCTGTAAAAGCAGAAAGACTGGAGAAGTCTTTAAGCGTGTAGCCTTGGTTGAGTTATGGAAACAGGGTACTTCTATTGGAGATTATGTATCGGAATTTCTGGAGCGGGACCACGCCTCCAAACACGCTCCTTCCGGTTGTCATCTATATAGGTTCCCCCAGTTCTGCACGCTGTTCATTCCCGTTCACGTGCCCCACCCTCCCTCCCTCCTTGTTCTCAATTCTTTAACTTCTTCATTTCTATGTAGTGCATGGGGATCTGCCAGGCCCCTTCGAGGCCTTCCCCAAACCGCAGCTCAATTCATGTCAAAACATTCACTTTTACCTACTAAAACGCTCTCAAACCTAAAATGAGGATGTGGGCCCAGCTAGTGAAATGAAAAGGGAAAAGATTTCATTATCAGCAAAGTGTTTTTTGTCAAGGATACTCACATGCTGTCCAGACAGTCTGGAGGCTGCTTGAGACGGTTTCCTTGTCTCAAATAATCATAAATCTCACTATTTTCGACCCCAGGGTATGGCGTCTGACCCCGAGTGGCGATTTCCCACATGGTGACTCCAAATGACCACTAAGAGGGAGCAAGAGAAAGATGGAGAGGCGTACAGGGAAATAAAGAGAGAGAGGGCGAGGAAGGGTTTAGCATGAATTCCTGTAGACTTTACACACCTTGTCACACATTAGTGAAACATGAGTCTACACTGGTCAAACACTGGCTATGGAAAAATATCACAGTCATGTTTGTCTTGGATTTTTGGACATCCTGCTTTATGAACAAGCACTAAAGAATGCAGATCATTTTAAGTGCTGCACTGTATAAACACAACTGCACATGTGCATGGACACTTAGGCCCTTAAAAATACTGTATATGTCATTAGCTTACCAGCTGCTAAAGTTGATATCACTCACAGATGTTGGTCAGGACATATTTATGCATATTTATACTGACATTTACAGATATTTTGGTAAATAATTTTGTCTTCATGACCAGCTGGTATGCTTAAGCAATGTATAAAGTACTTGTTTCTGAGTACTTCAGGTCTTCTAAAAAAATTTGACTATACAGCTTTAATTCCCAAAACACATTGTTAACTGTTTGAGAAGGGGTATTTTTGTTCCCAAGCCTCTCTAATACTGAAAGCCTTTGCTCTGTATTGTAGGGCACACAGTAACAAACACACAGAAGATGAACTTACCACATCACTCTTTGTGGTGTAGACGCGGTCAGCTAAGCTTTCAATGGCGATCCATTTTACAGGCATCTTGGAGATCCTGCCCTGTCTGTAGTAGTCTCCATTGTAGATCTTCTTGGAGAGGCCAAAGTCAGCTACACATACATTCATATTCTCATTCAGCCTGCGAAAGGGCATTTAGACATGAGCTAGAGTTATTACACTTGTGTTGGTCCTATATATATTGAACAGTATCTACATATCGACAGTCTTATTTAGGTTTAACATCCAAAACATTTGTTTTGTACCACTCATAAACTGGCAAGGCAAGTTTATTTATATAGCACAATTCAACAACAAGGTGATTCAAAGTGCTTTACCGAGACATTAAAAAACAAAAACAATAGAAAGCATGATTTAAAATTGATTAAAAAAACAGTAGATAAAATCAGAACAGTAGATAAAATCAGTAGTTAAAATATAAGTTTTGAAATTTAAGCTTAAAAGTGTGGATGGCAAGGCTTGCTTGCATCATTAGTCTTTTATTCTAGCAAAAAAGAGACTAATGCCTAAAACTGACATCTAATAGTCATGTTTAATATTAATCAAAGTCTGTAGTTCTTGCTTTACTTCTTTACCGAGATCTTCTCCAACCATTGTATGTTGGATAAAAAAAAAGGAAAGGGAAAGAGCAAATGAGAACACCCACAGGAAGTGAAAGAGCAAAATGCAGAAGCAGAGATTGTGCTTACATGCAGTTGCGGGCAGCGAGGTCTCTGTGGATGAAGTTCTTGTTGCTGAGGTATTCCATTCCCCTGGCAATATCGGTCATGAACTTAACCAGCATTTGAGATGGGAGGTACTGCAGGATAATACAGAGAGAAATAAGTTTTGTTTTTGTTTTTTGTCTAACAAAGCTGATGTGTACTTTCTGTGCAATAGAGGGCACCAGAGCCCATCGTGTTTCAAGTCTGAATGGAGCACTCCTTTGCTCCAGATACTCCTCATGTGGAAACAATAGAGTTCAGCTCCACTGTGTTCTTGGAAACTGTGCATGGGTGTTTCAATACTGTGTATGGATCTTGTTTTGATTAGGCTTGTGTTACCCAACTTCGCTCTTCAGGGACTTACTGCGTAAGTCAGTTTAAAAAACCAAAACCAAAAACCAAAATAAGTATTGATACGTAACACTTCAAATAAAGACTTGTGTTTCCATAATCTCTGACTCTACGTGTTGCCGGAAAAAGTATGGGTGGAGACTTGTTTAAGAGATCTTTGAATCTCTGTTGAACTTTGGAACCCATTTAGCTGACAGACATGTGAACCTATTAAGCTGTTAAACTGTGTGGGACTGTATGTGTGCATATGCATAGGTGACTGTGAGTGTGCATGTCTGTTGCTGATTTTGTGCATTTGTTTGCTGTAATCAGACTAACCACAGGACAGTCTCCCAGCCTTGAGTATAGCAGATAACTGTGCAGATCTCCATGTTTCATATACGGCAGAATGACCACAGGGGAGGGATATCCTTCACTCTCCACAGTCTGTAGACACACACCTATTAAAAAAAACAAAACACAAAAAGAGCTTAGTATGCACAGAGACTTCATGCCTGTTCTGTCTATTCAGAAATTAACGTCATTTTACTTTTAATCCCCAAAGTCTTGACTGTGTATAAGCGTCTTCATCTATGAAGAAACAACACACAATAACTACAACACAAAGGATTTATTCTATGGCTCTGTTTTCTTTGGCTCTTACACAGAATACACAGTATATCGCTAACATTTCTCTGTGAGTTTTCTGGATCGTCCTAAAAAAACAGCTGTATTGAGCAACAAATGCCTCCAGCGTTTTCAGTTGGATGCAGACAGAAATTTCAAAACCTAAATGGCTATGTATCATTAAGTGTAAATTAGAAAAAACACAACCTTTTGCAATTCGAAATTGCCAACTTTTGACATGCCAAGCAGCAAAAATGCCAACTCACCAAGGAGCCTCATGACATTGGGGTGGTCGAACTCTTTCATGCAGGCAGCCTCTCGGAGAAAATCTTCCATCTCTGAGCGTGTGCATATAGCAACTGGGGAGAAGAAGGTACAGAGGTGAAGCCACATCACCCATATGTTACTCAGTAGGTAATGCATGGCACTAAAACCAAAAGGTTGACAGTTTGCAAGAATAAGAAATAAACTATTTGAGAAGGCCTTTTGACTCCCTGGATTTATTTAACTGTGAGTTTATGCATGTCAGCATTTTTAACCACTGAAGTTGTTTACATTTTTCAACTAGAGTCCCTCCATAATTTAGTTTTGAAAAAAAATATCTAAAAAAAATTATACGGGGTAAAACTTTCTCTTCTGCCAATATTTTCTAAAAGCTGACTTTGTCCGTTTTCTGATGAAAACTGAGATTATTGCCCTGAACACTTGTAAATTTTTGAGAGGATAAGAGGCTGCTTATCAAATGCCCTGTGTTCCAGAGATGAAGGGATTCATTGTAGTGATTGCTGAGTACTTTTACTGTCTACTCACTTTTCATAGTCTTGACAGCGACTTTGAGAACAAACTCTTCTTGAGTCAGCAGCCCTTCCATCACAGAGCCAAACTCCCCTGAAGACAGAAAAACGTAGTTTAAAAAGCAATTGAAAATCACCACTCATTCATTTCTCAACTGTAAACAGTTTATACAACTATTAAACAGCAAACCGCTTTACTATACAAATATATAACATATTTGTCTGACAGGAGATAAGTAGAAACCTGCATTGGTGCTATGGCAGACAAGTCTATGAACATGTACCAATTTTGATAAAGAAGTGTTAACAAAGCCTGTGATTAAATATATGTATATTAAAAAAACAACAAAACATCGAGCACTACCTTCTCCCAAGGTCTTTCCCAGGGTTAATTTATGTCTGTCCACCATCACATCTTGGAGCTTCTGCTTCAGCTCGTCGCTGATGCCCAAGCTGTTCACTGAAGAAAGGGGAGAAAAAGAATTTTAATGCTGCTTAGCTGCCTGAAGCAATTTAATTAACAACACAGAAATGAGAGAATAACAGCCTGAGTTTGCCAAACAGCCTCGCTAGCTTTCCCAAAACCGCAATGCATGACACTAAGCCAAAAACAAAGTGTTTACTTGTAAAACTCCCCCAAAATGAGCATTAGTCTTTCCAATTTTAATCAGTTTGTTAGTAACATTATTTGAAGTTGCATTCAGATAGTACATTATCTTTTTTATGCACTTTTTCAGGTACATGTGTTTGTTGCAAGTCTAACATAGTTTTATGTCTAAAAGACAAAACAAAACCATTAAAAGTGAATCAAAATGTTACCAGGACCTAATAAATAATATAACATACTGAAAGTAAAAGTGCTTCAATTACAATGCAAAAAAGTGCAATATTCTTTAAAAAGCTCTGTTGGGAATATGTGACCCCAGTTTTGTTTATTACCCTTTTCTATAAGTCTATGTGATCCTGCAGAGACCAGGTTGGGTTGAGGGACACGAGGTCAGAGGATTAGGCTGGTTTAAATACTCACTCCACAGCTGGCTGTCATTGAGCAATAGTGGTAAGCTGACTGCGCTACACATTTTAGCTCTGTTTTCACATCTGGGCCAGGATGTGACAAGGCTACAACATGCTCAGAGATCCCCTCCAGCTGCTGCTACACCATCAATCTGTCATGCATTGGACAACAATCTACTCGGTCTTCGGGCATGTTCCAACACATGCTGGCGTGACCAGCTATTAGCCAAGGCTTCTAACATCTAGAGCTTCGGGGTTTGACTCCACTCTGAGAACTGGCTGAAATTACCGGTCAGTGTCCACAGCTTTAATTCTGTCCAAATCTCTCCAATCTGATCCTTTCCCTTTTACCCAGTGCAACTTTCTTCATTCACTCTGAGTCTATAATATCTCTTCATCTCTGTATCTTGGCCCCTCTTATTTTACTCACTGAATAGTTTTTTTCTCTCTTTTCCCTGCAGTTTTATCTTACTCCTGGCCTCTTTGCAGCTATTGCAAGCTGAGACTTGACCACGAGGACTAAAATACTGTGTGTACTGGTTACAATGGCAAGACAGGTATATCAAATCACGAGGACTCTCAGGGACTGCTGGCTGGGGAAAGCACACAAACTACTGCTTCTATGATGCTACCAGTTTGAGTTAAATGGCACTGTTACTTTATTTCCCAACACCACATGCCTTTTCCCAATTTGGAAATGTGGAGCGGTTATTTTAACTTGTTTTTAACATCTCCAGTATCAAATTAAATGTAACTTTAATTTGCTTATCTGAAGAGTCTAGTTTAATTTTGATGTTCATGCTTCATTGCACAGGCCATAACTTCATTACTACATTTCCTGCACATCTAATTAATAGGCCTATTAAAAGACTGCCTTATGTGATATAAAATGCTCACTGTTGCTATGGTGTATGTCAGCTGACTGAACTCTCCAGGGCTATTATTACTGTGGGAAATGAATTACCTGTCAGTGCATTTCTGGCTTTGATCAACCAAAACAAACTAAAGATGTTTTTCTTGCTTTGAAATAATGAGAATAGAGCTGTAATTGTGTGACGCTTTTCTTCCACAGAACTGCTGGTTCCTGTTATGTCTCTTTCTTTAAGGGCATGTTTGGGCATGCTGTTAATAAAGAGTACCTATTTCTGCCAAAAGGACAGCTGGATGCAAATACAGAGTATCAGCTTTCTGCCAAACATGGCAGACTACAGAGGAACTCACATGTTGCTTCTGTAGTCCTACGGCTGTACGAGCGGCGAGCACGGTACCTGACCACCAGCTCTCCACTCTCCATCATGGGTTCAAACGCCTCTCTGTGAAAGGATACATCACAAGAAACAGAGCAAAACACAAAGTCAGGTCACACCAGTGAACAAAAGTGAAAAGATGGATTTGGGCTACATTTCACGAAGCTATTTTTAGTCTTTCAAAACAAATGTTATTGCTTTATATAAATGCTTTAGAAGTGTGCAAGTGAGGCAAGCGGGCTGAGACCCAGAAAAAATTGAAACTTTTTGGTTTGGCACAGTCACTGAGTCCCTCCCTTCCAGCCACAAGGAGCAGTAACACCCTACGCACCCAAAGCGCGTCTCCTTGCGCCGCAGCTTGGCCACGTAAACAGCCAGGAACACAGCTATGGACACAGCACCGGTAATGGCCATCACCACATAAAACCAGTGCCAGGAAAAGGCTGGGGGCGATGATGGACCTGAAGGAAAGGGTGTGGATGGAGACAGATGAGCGTTTAGTAGTGTAGGTCTTGTAATTTGGAGTGGGGATTTAGAAGTTTAAAGCAGTAATTAAGTTATTTTATCAAAGAAGAAAGAAGACATGATTTGTGTAAGTTATATTAGCTAGATGACAAAAAGCATGCTAAAATATACATGCTGAATTGTTGGGAATAATGGTATGAATCAAGTGAAGAAAGTGACAAAGCAGACTCTTTAAGCTAAATCAAAAAGTCCTTCTTTTCCTAAAAATATAGTCATTTTCTTCACTCTAGAAATACTTTGCTGTGCCATTTCCCACACTGAAATTTATTCTCCAGTCACTGCCACAATCTACTGCTGAACACTCACAAACTCTACCCAGTGTTTACAACTTCTCTTTCTTTTCATACTCATCCTCCACGACTTTGCTTGCTTGTTTTTCTCCTTTCATTTGCCATTTTGTTGTTTGAACTGTCTGTCTAGCTCTGTTAGACAAAGCAAACAGAGATTCTCACTGCTCCTGCCAGTTATAAATATTTATGATTCTTCTCCTCATTCAGCCCCATACCCCTCTTCCCCTTTCCCTTCTCTGTGAGATCATCTTCTCTTTTTTTTTCTCTTCGTTCCCTTTTTTCTCAAAATACACAGTGAAACAGACTAAGAAGAAGTAGTCCAGTTATGGAGAAAGAAACATGAGCTCACTTCCACTATCACTGTCATTGTGTGCTACTCAGAGAGGTGACAGAAGAATGTTTGTATGTGTACATAAATCCAGTCATTGCTCACCTCTAAATTCACCCATTTCTGCTGGTGTAAAAAATAGAGAGCACGTGTTAATATTTTGACTTTTTAAAAACAGATCATATCAAGTATATTTTAGCAACCACAATTTCATCAAACGAAATCATTGCTTTATAAGAATAATACGTTAATCACACCTGTTGCAATGAATTACGATTTTGTTACTCACCAGGAACGTTGAGTGTCAGAGTCTGAATGGGTGCCCAGGGTCCTTGACCCGCCCCTGTATAGGCACACACTCGGAAAGAGACATTGGACAGGGGGACAGACAGATTGATTGCGAACTCAGTGCCCAATCCGGTATTGACGACAACCTGAAAGAAAAAATCGGTCTGTCATTATTAAGAAAAATGGACATTTTCTCCATGCATTTGTAAATTTAGCAACTTTGTTGACTGTGAATGTGTTCCTTACCTGCTGAGTAACAGGTGTGCTGTACTCCACCATGTAACCCTGCAGCTGCCCATTTAGTTTTCCTGATGGCTGCTCCCACATTACTAGTACCTCCGTCCCATTTAACTTAGCAGTCACATTAGCTGGTGGATTTTCAGGCACTGAAAAAGAAAAACAACAACGAAGCTCTGAAGCATCTCAGTTTTCTCTCTCCCTCCTGCAGACTAGGATTGCTCAGTTTTCCTGTTTATCCCTCTGTGTTACCTTGCCCACTGGTAGGTGGAATTAATCAGTGCATCTGGGAGCACCCGTCCACTTAACTTGTGTCTTTCACACAATTTGTAATGACTCATGGAAACAATCATAACAATTTTTATTTATAATTATTGTAAGTGTACCATCAGTACTTTAACTGTGTGCTAAGTGGCCTGTGTCAGGCGGACTGGAGTTAGCCAGGCATGTGTTGTTTTGACAGCTTAGAGCCTCTAGGGTGTGGATAACTCTAGCAGCTGGAAGGAGAAGATGTCAAAGAATGTGGAGAATTTGGCTTTATTAGGACAAAAAGGCATCTGAGGGCACCGCAGACAGGGGTGATTAGTCAAGTTCAGAAGCTGCTCGGGTCTTTCTTTGTCATTATGGTTCAGTAAAGTCCTGTGTCTACTTCACTTCACGCAGTTCCTTTTCTGTTGGCCATTCCTGTTATTGTTTTATTCATATTTATCTGGCTTTGTTTTTGGCATTTGGGAGAAGAGAGGGGAAAAAAGGCATCTGGCAACCAAAATACCCACTGGAGAGAAAATCTAGCTGAATAACATGCTAGAAATAGTGTGAGGAATTTATGCACTGTGTGTCTAGTGTGTGTGTGTGTGCGCATATGTGACTGATGCACTGTTTAGGACAGAAAACCAAGAAAACTTTCAATAAGAAGAAGTGAAGGCTTATTTCCTGTGTTAGTGTTTAAAGCTTACTTTGTGTTTGCTTCTCACTCTTGGTATGCTCCCAAAGTCACACAAACAAGCTGGACACCCACACACACCCACGCATGAGCTAAGTCACCGTGCGTTTGGGAAACACAGCCCAGCCCTATGGATGATGTTATCAGGAAGCGTTTGGCGGGTGATTGTTTCCACATGTGGTCCTTATTCTTCCTGCCAGCGGCAACAAAAGCAAACTCTAAGTCAAGTTTGTTCCAGCAGTTCGGCTCCGCATTTGCTTAATCATCTGTCGGACTTTCTCTCTCTGCGTTCTCCACCTCTTTGTTGCCCATACTCTTTTACTCTCCTTCTCATTTTCTCTCTTTCCCTGACTTCTATCCAACATAATTCCATCATCTTCTCTCCAAGTTTTCTTCTCCGTCATTGCTCGCCCTGTTTTAATGCCGTTCTTTGTTCATGGAGTGGCGAGTTCAAGTGAACAGACATGTTGATGTAAAATGTAAGATTAAAAAAAAAAAAAAAAAAAGAGTTTCCCTTGGACAAAAATAGTTAGATTTGCAAACTTCAAAAAAGGAAATGAGATGTTTATTTGTGCTTTTTCAAAAATGCCTCGTGTTTTTTATTCTTCTGAAAGAATGAAAAGCAAGCCCTGACTTGGCAAGAGATTGAGAAAGAAACTCTTGAGCCACAATTAGTTCACTACAGCAAAGGTTCAGATTTGAATCCACAGCAGACTTACTGTTTCACATCCTGTTGGGGTGAAGAAAGTGTCAAATGATCAGATTTGGAAGATTTTGAAAAGTTGTTTGAAAGCAGGGATGTGACTCTTTCCTCATTCTTTATTCTTTTTTCCATTCTTACAGGCTGTAGGCCCTTTATGTGGTTGAACATATGTATGGAAAAAGGTCATCCTTAAGCCAGAAACTGACTGGTTCCCATGCATGAGAACTAGGAAAGCTCTACACAGGAAACATGTGCAACACAAATGTTAGTGTCATCAAAAATGTCTTAACTTTTAAGGCCATCCACCTTCTTTCAATTTAACAGCACAACCGACTGCTGTCTGTCTGGGAAAAAGAGTCATTTAATGCTTGAGAATGCATTTTTGTTGGCAATAGTATTAAGCAGGATTAAACGTGACACGTGTGCACATTGGGGTATGTCATCATGACTCACTTCCATTGGGACAGTGAATCGGGCTGTTCTGTGACTGTTTATTACATCTCTTTGGGGGTACAGACTGACGTTATGCAAGGTGTGTACAGAGAATCAGGACTCCATTAACAGCCATTTAGTTTCTTAGTAACTGATTCTTTGTTTATTCTGTCTGTGTGTTTGTGATTTTTTTTTTATTCTGGGGTTCTTTTCAGACAAATAAAATAGACTTGTGGTATGTAAAGAAACGCAATAAATGTAAAATCTCATCTCATCGCAGCGTTAGGATTAGCGGGGTGACATGGGTCGACTCGCTTCCTCTCCCTCTGACCAGCCCTACCCCCTCGTCCTCCTGGGAAAAAAGTAGACTGGGAAAATAGCTAGATGAGTGTTTTCTCAAAGCACCCGCTTCTCCCATTTTTTTTCTGCTCTTCCATCCAGTCCTTCCCTACTCTCACCACCACCACCACCACCACTTTTTCCCTTTTTCCCACAGTGCCTCGCTCTGTGTTCTGGAAAGGAAAATCACAAGTCAACTGAGGTTAAAAAAAGGGGGGGTGGAATGAAAGATGAAGGAGTCAAGCTGAAAAACTGGATTCAGAAAAACTTGTTCAGCTTGTTCGGGGGTGCAGGAAATCACATCCTCAGCAATGTTTGTTGGATGAGGTAGAAAAAACTGGCTGAAAGATAAATGAGTAAAAGCAAGCCCAGTTCATCTGGAGGAACCAGATGAAGGACACGAGACATAAAGGGAGAGAGAGTTCAGCATATATGCACAATTTATGAAGGATTTAAGGAGGCAGAAAGCTACAGAAGGCTTCAGGCTCAAGAGAAAAACCTTGTGGGAGTTTGTCAGAGACTTCAGCAATGAAGCACATGGAAAATGTGGAAAATATTGGTGTGCTGTAAACAGCCAAACTCTCTCTATTGTTCTCTAACTCAGTTTACCCTTAATGCCTCTTGAACTATTTTTCTCAAAAGCTAAATGTTATGTTTCATATGTTGTCATTTTTTTCCTGTGAAACGAAATGAAGATTGCTTTAGCTCAAAAAAAGAACTGAAAATTCTGCTTGTTCGAGGACTGCTTCCCTTTTGCGTCTTCCATTTATGAGAAAATGAGAAATACTGTGTTTACAGATTACAAGCAGCTTCCCTCATGGAAACCCCCAATCACTGCTCCTGTGGCATGTCTCCTCTCTCCATTCCTATTTATCCAGGGATACAGAAAGCATGAGCTGGCATGGAAAATCCCACCTCAGTCTAAACTCAAACACAGGCTAGCATTAGAGTTTGGACAGAGTGCAGCAATCCTAACTGAAGCCTTTCAGGAGAATTTAGCATCTACCTTCCTTTTCCCCATCACAACCTTTTCTGTCCCTCAGCGCCAGTCAGCCTTCTACTTCAAGAGTTTATATTTAAAGCTGGGTTCACAAGGGTACAGTCACTCACATCTGGTAACCTTCATAAACACAGACTAAGGAAAAGGGGCACAGTAAGGAATATTATGACTAATGGTGCACTGTAAACTAATTCCCTAACTTCATGTTATCAGAATTCAGAATAAGTCTTGACTTATAATGATCCAAGTTGAAAATAATTCAAAAGACTCTGCAGGGAATTACATCCACCTTAAAATAGATCCAGAAAAAAGGGGTCGTGGGGCTAAAACACTGAACTTTTGCCAGCTTGAATTCTAGACAAGACAGAAAACAGTCAAAGTGACTCATACCCAAAGCATAAGACAGCAATGAAACACAGCTGGAGTATATTAACTACATCTTAAACATAACATAGTATCAGATATGCAGACCTAATAAGTGAATTAGACTTAAGTCAGAGTTCCAGACCTATGAATTGGGCTTTAATCTACTTTGTCATCCTGGAACAGAACAGCTAGGCCCTGTGAAGCCATCATCTTTATTATTACTGTTTTAGTCCCATTGAATAGGCTTAGCTGAGAAAACAACACAGCACATGTTCAGTGTGACTGAGGACATCATTCTGTTAGCATATACTTGCACATTTAGCAGTAAAAGTATCCCGCTGGCATTTGTTTGAAATGTACTTATAGAAAAATGACCCTTACTACAGAACAAAAACACCATAAAAAGCAACTCAGTGGTGTTTTTGTTACTGTGTAGATTCTGTCCTGGTCTGGTTACAGTTCACAGAGCCTTGACCTTGAAATACTTATGAAGAAATAATCTCACACGCAGCGACATAAAAAGATGCGCACATCCGGACAAGACATCCTTGGTGAAAACAAACAACTCTGCAAAACTAACCTCCTTCTTTGGTACGTAGCTCCACCCAGGGAGACCAATCAGATGGGCCTTGGCTGCTATGGCAGGCCACTCTGACAGCATAGAGGGTGTGAGGCTCCAGGTCTTTGATGATGTGTGAGGATCGTGGCATGGACACAGTCTGATTATGGATCAGCTGATGTGGGCCTGCTATGATGGACTCTCCTGAATGTTTGGCCTGGAACATTAAGATGACAAACATTATACTTTGTATACTTTGTAAACAGTGGTTCCTAATAATCAGATTTACTGGTTTACGTGCAAACAAGAAGATGATGTGCTGTTTTTGAGTCCAAACAATGACTGAAAACGATATAAGGAGAAAATAGAAAATCCCTTTGAGCCATGCCAATCTCTTTAACAAATCAAGGAATTTCTGTATGCATCTCTGTGCTTTGCTTGTTTATTTAAATTTCTTCACAGACAGGCGAATTGGTTGTGCAGACAAAATGGAAAAAACTGAATTATTTTCTGCAGTTTCTTAAGCTATTATTTGTTGCTGCTGCTGGTGGTGGGGTCATTAAGTGTTAATTTTTAACAATGCTGTAAAATGTTCCTTTGCTGCTCTGAACAAAAGCCAAACTCAGCAAGGTAGACTAAAAGCAGAACCCGCCAACCAGACATCACAGGCAGAAACCTGCTGTCTCTGCAAAGTCTTTATGGTAAACACATTTAAAGAGGAACACTAGAAAACAAAAGCTTCTTTGCAGCAATTTTATAACCACATTAAAGTTGCTGGTCTAGGCCATTGTTCTGCAGCATTGTTCATTATCAACAAACTTGTTTGAGATGGGTGGAGTTCACAGGTGGAGTTAAAAACATTATAAATAATATGCCTAAAAATGAGCAGCCACACAAACATGTTTGTAGCAGGTGCTGATGTGTACTGTTTTACCATATAAAGCAGGAATGGGTAGAGGATGAGTTATGGCAAGAAAAGAAAAGCAAAATCTCTTTAATTTAAAACTAGGCTAGCAAAAGGCTCTGAACTAGAGAATTAGCAAAAAAAAACACCATGAGCAGTCAGAGGTCATGTGCTATAGGAAGCTTAAGTCTTTTTCCTTATGGCATGAGTTAGACATCTGAGGATGTCTTCAGTTGCATGAATGAGGAGAACTGTATGAATGTGTGTGGGTTTGTAAAAGCTCGATGAATCACCGTCCAGCCTGCAAAACAAGTGTGTTTAATCGAATAGTACAACTCAGCCCTGAGTCACACTCCAGCATGCATTCCCCCTTGTATGGCTCAGACCCACAATACCTGCTGTCACTGACCTTTCCTGTTTTCTTTTAACAACTTTCTCCACGCCTTTCTTTCCTTCTTTCTTCCCTTCTTTCACCTCTCTAAACCACTGCCTTTTCATGTTTCTCTTCACTACACAAACAACCGTTAAATTCAGCTTTTTGCCCCATTCTCCTGAAGTAGGCCCCTTTTCTTTTTCCCCTACAAGGGTAAAGGGGTTAGAGAGAGATGGAGGAAGGGAGGGGGCAATAGTATCAAGAGGTATGAGGGGCAGCTTTATTAGAACCAGACGTTTAGGGGTGGTGCTGCAGTGTTCCCTTCTCCAGGAGAAAATTTTCCTCCTCTCAGCTATGAGCTATAACGGCCTCAAAGCATGATAGTGGCAGAGAGACACTTACAGAAAGAAAGAGAGGGAGGGAGCGGCCCTACATAAGTCCAAGAGGCCACTTTCCCAGAGTGAAACATGACCCACTGGTACATGAATAAAGCAGGGAGGGGTAGAGGATGAGTTATGGCAAGAAAAGAAAAGCAAAATCTCTTTTCTTTAAAACTAGGCTAGCAAAAGGCTCGAGAATTAGCAAACAGAGGAGTCAACGATCAATTGTTAACAGGTAGAAACATCAAACAGCTGCTGTGGTTATTCCAGCTAGGGTTCTTCTGAGCTAGTTGTGCTATTCACATCTCCCACATTTACGTCTAGTTTTTCTCACCTGAACAGAACAGTTGACTATCTGGTAAGTACCTCCGAAACCAGGTTCCCACGATAAATGAAGTGCGGACTGAGTGATCTCTACAGCTCTCACATCCTGAGGTTTGTTGGGGAGAACTAAACAACAAAAACAACCCCCAAAATTAAAGATGTAAACATAATTATATGCAGATAAACTAGCAATGGCTGAAGTGACACTGCTTTCATGGGCTGACACCTACCAGTGATGGTACCAGATCGGGAGCTGGCCACACCCTTACGATTCTGGGCCTCACAAGAGAAGGTGCTGGTCCTGTTCAGGCCTGGACAGAGAAATACTTCAGTATGCTGAGTTGCATGTGATGTCAATGTGAGAAAAATATAACTAGAGTGAGAATAGCATGAGGGTAAAAGTTCCCATTCAGTAACATCCTCTGTTTGTCAGTAGTATTAGGTAGTAGGGTGCTTCTTCCTGAGAGTGTAATGGTCGTTAATCCAGGAAAGACTTACAGATTTTACATTTTGATTTGTGGTGTAAAAAAGTGAAAAAATGTGCAGCTGCTTCAGCTTTGGCAAGACAAGACAGTGTTAAAGTTTTATACCTTATCTAAACATTTCAAGAAATTAACTTTATTCCATTGTGAACAATGAATCTTAATGTGAGTAAATACAAGCAGGAATCAGGTTTACTTGTTGCACATGTTTAAGCAACAAAGTTGACCAAAGCTGTGTACTAACACAAATAAAAGAGAGGAAGAAAGAGCAGGATAAAAAAAAGTGTAGTATGAATTTCAATATCAGTTACTATAATATTAAGTTTGATCAAGCCAATAAAAAGCCATATAAAGCGTAGGTGGAGATTTGTTGATATTCAGGTTGAAAGGCATCAAAAATGTGCTTATTCTGGTATAAATCATAATATTTTTAGGACTTGGATGTAGTTTTGATTAAATAATTTTTTTCTCAATTGGCTACTATAACCAATATTATTTTCCACAAGATCATCAAAAAAACCCATTTTGGTTTTAACTGCTATTTGACGTAATTTGAGGTTTGGTTTTTCAAAACTGCAGCTTCATGATAAAGCAAAAGTTTCAGGAGTTGCAAATGCTTTTTGCTTTGTAGGCTGGAGAACAAAGAGTGCAGCCTAGCTGAAGTCTAGGTGCAATATGCTGAGCTGCTGCCTTCAAGAGGAGCTGGGGCTCCCGTGAAGGGGGAAAACAAGTATGACACACTGACATTCAGCAGAGAATGAGTCCTCTGACAAAGTGACTCACAGCGTGCTCACACATTGAGCATTTTGTAATGAAACACAGGCCTACACACACAGACAGACAGTGAAACATGTGACATTCAAGTTTATCACTGTTATCTAACACCCCAACATTGTCAATAAGCCACAAGCTGAGAGTGACAGAATCATGCAGTGTGTTTGTCCTGCGCCGACGGCACCATGCCCCCATTGTGCCGTGGCCGGAAAAAGAACAGGGGGTACGATCCTCGCTGGCTGTAGTGAGGGGTTGTGAGAGGGGAAAAGGAGGGAGGGGAGCGTGAGCTGACCACTGGCTGTGTGCGACAGTGAACTGCTCATCAAGCCAGATTGCGCCACTTGCTCGTGTCTCCTTCCTTCCTCATCAGAAAACCACAAAACAACATCCTTTAACAGCTGGAAATGTCATTATCTGTTACTAGGAAGAACCTCATGATCCGTGCAGTATTGACCAACAGTGTCAGCTGGGAAAGGCAGTGCGTGGCTTTGGTACTTTTTTTTTTGCTAGACTAACATTTTCTGTGAACAAAGTAATAGTATTAGATTTCTCAACTTTCTTAAAAGGAACTGGGATTGTGAATACTTTAATGGTTCATGAATAAGCAAAATGGTTTAGAACTGAAGGAGAAATGAAACTGATAATGAAGTTGAAAGCGTTGACTTTAGCAGGGGAGTAAACCAAATCAAAATCAAATCAAATCACTTTTATTGTCACATCACATGTGCAGGTACATTGGTACAGCACATCTGAGTGAAATTCTTGTGTGCGAGCTTCACAAGCAACAGAGTTGTGCAAAATACAATAATGTAAACAAGCAAAATACAAGAATGGCTACATCTGAAACTAATAAATATATGTACAATATATAATAGTATATGCATTATGCAACATAAATATGCAACATAAATTTATTTTGATGAATAGATTTTTTTTGCCCAAGACACAATAAAAAAAGAAAAAGAAGAAAGAAGAACAGTTTATGAGGACTTCTCAAATCATGAAGCCACACATGTATGGCTCTTGGTTTCTTGCTGGTTGGAATGTTCTTCATTCCATTTTTCTTTATGGGCTCCTTGAAAGATTATTTGTGTTTGCCTTGGTTTGGATCTGTGGTCTGCCAGGCCAGCTGTCCATACCAGAGTTGTGAGTGTAGGTTACCATCAATCGGGTCCTAGTCAACACCATGAAGCCTGCTCCGATGAGTCAAACCAGAGCCTTCAACTGAACTTCAACCGCTCCTTACTCCTCCCTTTTTCCTTCTGACTCAGCCTCCTCTGTTTTTCAGCCTACCACTGGTAGGCTAGCTGGCAGGCATCTGTAGTTTGCATTCAAGCAGCAACAGAATCCCCCTCCTTTATCTCCTTCTTTCTTTTATCTCCTTACGTCCTCTGCACATCAATTTTCCATCTCCGAATTTCCCAATTGTCCTTTCTGTGCTTGCTGCTCCTTTTTACCCACAAAACCACAAGGCATGTCCTCAATGGATTCACTGGCAATGTGCCAGCCTGGCTCTCTCTGGGGAGGGTGGTTATTTGGTAGTATTGTTTTGGCCATGAAAGAAGGATTTGAAAGTCTTTCAAACACAGGAGATAGTTGCTATACAGTTTTTGAAGCAGGTCATTATAACCAGTCTAAATAGATTAGATTCAAAAACTCAACTCTGAACCACAACTTCTTGAAGGAGGACTTTTTACTCGTCTAATATTTAATTTGCATATTTTTTTTTTTACCTGCAGAAATTAGCATTTGTAACTCATTAATCATTTAAGTAATTAATCTTCTCAGTTTTTAAAATGTGAGGACCCACTTCTCTTGCCACCGTGTCAAGTTTGGGGAGAATTTTTTCTTTCTTTTTTTAAAAACTTTTTTTAACTTGATCATTTGTTATTGTTTTTATTTTCTCCTGTCCATTTCACTGTCAGTGCAAAATGAGGATTTGAGAAATCTGTTTGTTTAAACTGGACTAACTAGGCTGTTGTGCTTGACTGAGTAAAACATGATACCTGTGAGGTTGAGGGTTGAGGGTGAGAGGGCCACTGGATCCGTCAAAACATTCAGAGGATGGCCATCCTGTAGCCAGATGACCCTGACTGGTTCAGGAGGCCCGTGGGCTGCACAGTGAAGGCTGAAGGAGACATTCGCCACGACAGTCATGTGGTAGGGCTCCAAAGAAAAATGAGGAAGGCCTGAGAAAGACTTAGCTGAGTCAGGGTCTCCACTCCTTTAAACAATCCAAATCTATAGACTTCTGTAGCTGTGGTTGTTTAATAACTCACCTTCCAGCTGAATACCACCCTCATCAGAAAAGGTCTCATTGCTTCCTGATCGAACAGCACATTTGTAGTAGCCCATGTCTGGGAGCTGGACTTTCTCAATTCTGTTATGTATATAAAGAGGAATATTTTCAAAGGTTTTGTAAAGAGCAAAAAATGTCAAAGCAAACTGGTAATACAGGGAGCTGATGTATACTTCCTTTCTAAATTTAACATTCAGTCAAGCCTGAATAAAATATTTCAAGTTACAGCAGATTAGACAAATGTGATTTTCCTTGGATTGCATAATTTCTTTGAGAATTGATTTCTCCGGTTCCCTACTGAGAGTGGAAGTCAACATGGTGACATAATCCAGCAACAGCCCTGTTTGAGCTAGAAACAAGACGGGGTGGAAGAACAGGAAATAAACACATTTTTAGACCAGGTGTGACTGCTTCACAATACATAATCCTTAAATCTTAAAACGAAAAGAAACTTCCACATGTTAGCAGTCAAAACTGCATCCTACCTGAGTGTGCTTATGATAGTCCTACTGTTGCTGCCAGTGAGAACTTGGTACTGATTATTTTCTGCATGCTCCAGTGGCACACCATCTTTCAGCCAGATCACATCAGGGGACTCCACGTCCTCACTCCCTTTACCATTCAATTTGCACTGCAGTGTAACAGGTTTGCCCAGTGAAGAGATGACAGTAGTGGGACTCTTTACAAACTCCAAATCTTTGAGAGAGGAAAGAAGCAGAAGAACAGGTTAGCATTTTTCAAATGCAAATTTTTTGCAGTCCAACTGCAACTGAAAACGTATCTTTAAAGAACAAGATTTCCCACTCTTCTCTTTTCTATAGAATCTGTGCAGCTACAAACTGAGCGTAGCATTACTTCAGACAATGTTTAGCTTTGTCTGCAGTCTTGTTATATCAACTGATAACAGCTGATCTCAGTCCAGCCCAAAAAACCTACTGCTGGCTCAGATGGTACCCTTCTGTGCATTCTTCAGGCAGATATCATACAGGCAACACCATGTCCTGCTCCTGCAAGCTGCTTTGCAACCCACCGTGACCCCCAGTGCCTTCATTTCATCTTCTGCTTGACCTTAATGTGACGTATGTTGTCACTTTGTTGATGCTTGCTTTGAGCTGTACATGTTTGTCTTGCTGTTTCTTTCATAGGACATAATTTTTCTACCACAAACAGTCATTACTAGAAATGAAAGGTTCACTCTTTTTTTTGGGCTAAAGTGGTCCTGACTCAACTGTGATTGTTCTGCATGCATGCGCATGACACCTTTCAGTAGTTTAATTCACATAATTAGATTAGCTACATTAATCATGTCATCTATCCAATATAAAACAAAAATAAAGAAAATGCCTAAGACAAACTCCCATAGATTAAGGTGAAAGAGTCCAAACAACAATTCAAAACCCAAAGATATTTAAATCACAGTGACACAAAACACAGAAAAGTAGTAAATCTCCACAATCCACAAGCAGCAAGTAGCAAATTTTGGTTTAATAAATGTCTGGAACATTAAATCATAAACAGAATTGCTGTTGTCCTATTAATCAATCAGCTAATATGTCCAGCACTAAAGTCTTCACTTGATTCTGTCTGATAAATATTTATTGCTTGTGACAGGCTTACTTTTGCAGTTGCCAGGATATGATAACCCGAGCTTTTGAAAGACTCTGGTTATCTCGTGCTCCTACTGATAGTGAAGCTGACCTGAGAAGGGCAGCACTGATACTGAGACAAAGGCTTCTTGTCAGAGGAAGGTTGCCTATGTTGCTTAAACAATGTCTGAGAACTGAGAGCCCAACACAAACTAAACGTAATTATAATCACAGCTTCTTCATAACAATATTCACAGACCTGCAGCCTATAGATGTCTGATGTCAGAAAAATGTTGAAAACGGAGGATCATTCTTTCTTTTTACCTTCTGAAACTTTCAATGATAATGAATTAGAATACGTAACTTAAAAACCCAGATTTTCTTTAAACCATCAAACTGGCAAGCGCACATAAGATGTGCACAGATTTGTGATACAAGAATTCTTTTCTTTTTTTCGCAGTATCACATAAAAATGCAAAGCATCCACTCAACCAACCAAGCCAAGGCAACTCCTTGTAGATAAAGAAAACATAAATCATTTGAGGATGAGCAAACTTAGTTTTCAGAGCAAGAATGAAAAAGCAAGATTTTCTCAAGCTTGTCAACACGCCCTCCTCGTCTATTTCATGGTCACCTTTCAACCTTTGACCCTTTACAAAGACCCCAAAGACCCATTTCACTATAACACATAAATGGCCATAATTCAACAACCAAAAACAGATTTAAAATGCACCTTTTTGCAGAACTTATTTTACTCTTAACTATAACATGTCTTGACAGAGTGTGTGCTTCCCCACCTCTTTGTCTCTGTGTGTTTTCTGGCATTAAAAGTCATTCATCCCTTTATTTTTTAAGCTTGGCTGAGCTCTTTCAATATTCTACGTGACCCTGGCTTTGTCCTCCTCCCCCTCCAGTGCATTGAACCAAAAAAGCCTCATTTTCTCTCTCTGTATCTTTTTTTTGCTGAATTCATATAATAATAACCTTGTAAACATTTTACAAGATTGCAGACAGACAGAGAGGGGAGGCTACAGACAAACTGTGTGTCTCTGTTTGTGTGTGGCCTGTCTCCACTGATTCATTGGTGCCTAACTACTTCATCGCCTCCCTATTGTTCCCCGAATTCCCTTCAGGTCCCCCACTTTTTCCCTGATCTTTTCTTTCCACCCTGCCTCTACTCCTACTCTCCACTCTGTGAGAATGCTCAGATGTTAAATGTCATTGGTTGTGCACATACCAAAAATGTCTGACACAGTCTTAAGCATTTATCCTCCTCTCCCTCCCTGCTTTATCCTCCTGCATTTTTAACAGTGTGGAATCCATTCACTGCCGCGCCTTTGCCCTTTCTCCTTTTCATGCCATTCATCACTATACATTTTGCCACCTCCCCTCCAAACTCTCTACTCTTGCCCTCATACCCCATCCATCATTGGATTGGAGTCTGAGTCAGACAAGCTCTGACTCACAAACCAAAGCATTTGGCCCCCTGAACCCCTCCTCATCCTTCAGATCCTCACATCCAAATAGGAACTGAGACATCCGAATAAAATTCTCCATTCTTCACATCGGTGTCTCGTAATCTCCCTGCCTGCTAGTCATACATATACTTAGGGCAGCTGCCCAAGAGACAGAGTGACCGCAATTGTCAAAACACATAAGCTGACAGGTGGACGTCCATGTAGGGGATACTGTTTTCATCAACTGGGTGCAATTGAAAGTTCCCAAACAGTCAGTAAAGTTTGTTTTAAAAGATAATTAACATACTTTTGAAATGATTCTGTATAGTGTAGAAAGACTATTTTCTTAAGAAAGCAGAAATTTGGTTTTCAGCTTTCATCTTTGGCGTTCAGCAAACATTCTCTTTGCTGATTATGATTCACCCATGTCTCAAGATATTTACATTAAATTCCCACCTTTCACTTGTTTCAGTACATCTATCAAATTCCAAATCTTGTTCGCTTGAACTCCCAGCATGAATAAACATTGATCCCCTGATTTCAGAAACATTGCCCTTGAGCAGTTAGTGTTACTGGTTGTTACCTGTCAGGTAAAACTCCCCTTCACTTACTTTGATTGTATCATAATATAATAATAGTATACAATAATATCAATCCTTTACTTGCTTTTGATAACTTTTTTATGTTGGCCAGATGTTGAACGCCCCTGCAGCTGTGGTTAGCCAAAAACAAATTGAGTTAACGAGGCAGAGAGCTGACTGTGCTAATTGCTCTTTACGATGTTTCCCCCTGCACACAACTAACAGGCATATTGGGTAAATAAAAAAGTTAAACCTTACCTGTCAGCGAATCTGCAGATGTTGGTATCCAAACCGAAAACATGACGGTGAGAATCACAAACGACCATTTAGACAAATTCATAGTTTCTCTCGAAAACAAATGACCTCGGAAAAAGAGCTTCATGAGGAGAAGAGTCATCCTGGAAACATCACCAGACTCCATTACCGCATCGCAGCAGCTCAGAGATTCAAAGTTACGTTTTGCTCTAAAGAAAAAGAAAAAATTTCTCTGACTTGGCAGGTGCTGAAAATGTTGAGTATCCACAAATCAAGACCCAAACAAAGCGAATCCGAGCGTTTCAGTTCCCCATTTTATGAAACATGCGGTTAAAAAAAAAAGTCTCTGAATTGCCACAAACTCTTGAGTTTCCCTTATCCTGTTGCTTTGGTTGGTCTCAAACGGAGCAGGGCTGTCTCCATCAAAAACTTTCATCTACCATGAAAAAGCGCACAGCAAACGACGCTCTAAACTTTTCCTGTCCAAACGAGAGTCTATTTCTAGCGATCAAGAGCATATTTTTAAACCAGTCTTTCCTGCAGCCGGTTGTCCAAAGTATCCTGCCTACAGGTTCCCTGCGACTCCAGACATTCCCCTGGCTTTCTTATCCCTCTCCCCCTTTCAAACACGATTCAAATTCCTCAACTCAAGTTCTTTCCACCCTCCTCATCCTCCTCCCCCTTCTCCACAGTCTCCCTCCTTTTCTCAAAGGATGTGAGAAACTCTGCGGCATGCTGATTGTCTCGGCCCAATCTCCCATTCGCTTTTTAATTACACAGGGATGCCCAGAAGTTGTAAATGTCTCCGTAAATCAACCGTTTCGCGCTTGAAACACTGTTTAAAACACAACCCTGTGCATTTCAGTGTGTGCAACATGACAGCAGCATGTACATATAATAAGAAAGCATAATGTTACAGACCTGCCTTTTTGATAATAAACTTTTTTCTTTTTTTCCTAAGAAAAATATATATTTTTTAATCGCGCTTTCAAAGTTAATTGCTTACCCACATCTATTGTTTTTCTGTATACTGTTTTATAATAATTAAAACATATAAATGTTTAACAGTACTACTATTAAAATACCATATCCAGGTTTAGCAGGTTTTGTTATTAATTCTTCATTATCTTGCTGCTGTTTAAAACATTTGAACATGTCGATTTGTTATTCCAACCAGTCAAAAGCAAACGTGATGTCAGCAAAAACGCATTAACGCATTACAGAAAAATATTCAAACTATTTTTGTTTGCATTTACTCCATTCTACACAAACAGAGTCACCATCACGATGTCTGGGAATTTGTTTGAAAATCCGGATTCAGTCATAACAATTTGAAGCACTCTCAGCTGTAGTCTAAATAACTGCGGCTTTCCTTGATTTACATCTAAGTTACTGTTGTAGATCGCGATGTCTGAAGTGTGTTCTGTGTGTGCGAGAGGAAATGCTTCTTGCTGCGTGAGAGAAGTCCCTGCAGGGTTCTCATATTATTCATGAATGAATTGATCTGCTGTGTATATTTCTGTTTTTTTTTTTTCTTCTTCTCTGAAAACAATGAGATGGGCTGGAACTCAGGTTGCGAAGAACTCAGTCCGACTGCCCCTTTAAGAGTAGCTCTGCGGACAGTGTTGTGTTCCCAGGGTTTTTAATGGAGACAGAGAGCCACTGAGAAAGACCCCATTGTATATGCTCTCCTTTCAATCGGGGCCTGAGCAATGGTGCTCTCACTGCTCCCTGATAGAAGCACAGAGTGGAGGGAGGGAAGAGGGTCGCAGAGGGTGGTCCTGCATAAGAAAGCGGGGTGTTCAACTCCAAAACACAAAGTTTCGTGTCTAGTTGGACCTGGAAGGAGTGAATGTTTGGATATAAAGGGGGAGGGGCATCAGGTCTAGGACTCAAGGAGTGTTTAGGTTCAAGTCACGCTAAAATCTGATTCATCACACACCAAGACCCAAGGATTTAAAGACCTTTACACGAAGCTCAAGTGGATTAACAGAATTAAAAGCGAATGGTCTAGGTTATAAAACACTTTAACCGGCAAAACAAACTATATGGGCCCCAGCTACTCACAGAGTAGTAGGCTAGTGCTGAGCTCATATCCCTGATAATCTCAAATGCTTATTAACAAAACAACCTGTCTCGAAGAAGAGTGTCTATTGGCTGGAAGACATGAGAAACACCTTCCTGCTACTCTCCCAGCTACACATCCCCCCAGTGGTGCGGATAATGAGCTGAGGGCCTCTTCTTTTTCCTTCTCCTTACTGCAGACTTGACAGCCAAACTGCTCCACTCAACCCTGATGATTCATTAAAATAGACTGTAGTGACTGACTGCCTGAAGTTGAAGGCTCTTATGCCCCCTGCTGGTGATTTTGTTCAAACTGCAACTGAATTCATGGAAGAACAATCAGTCCTGAGAAAGTCTCTGAACAAACCTAAATGAAGATCATTTAAAGGCGGTCAGCTTAGGCTCCTGACCCAAACTGACCTCATCGGTCAAACACGTTGGTGTTTTTGTTATGACTTGAGTATAGCTGCCAATGGATCTAACACCGGCATTTGCTGATAAATCTGAGCTATACAAGAGTGTGAGCTCAGATTCAGCCAAATGTACAAAACCTATTGGGAAAACATTTAATTTGAGCAGGGCAGCAATGCCTAACATAGTGCAAAAACAACACAAAAGCTTAACAGGGTGAAAAGGCGATGTCCTCAAATAGTAGAGTCAATCCCCCTGATTTAAATCAAATTGAGCTGCACTCCATCAGACTGAAGACAGACGGACTCAACAAAAAGCAGACGGTGAAAGTTTACTTCAGCCATAGAGTGTAAAAGATTTTATACTCAATACTTAATATGATGACTTTTTTTTCTACACTCCCAAATAATTTGAAAGCACAATTTAATTAACATCCTTCTATCAGTACTGGTGTCAGTTTTTATTTTAAAGTTGACTAAACCAGGCCAAAAACACCAGATATTATTACTTCATGTTTGTTCTTTGCTTGGAGAGGTGTGCAACAAGATTAAACCTCGCAATGAGAGCTTTCTGCTGTTTTATTTTCAGCTCACTGGTGAAATTAGCCAGTAATAGAAACACTGAATTAGCAACAGACAGCAAAGCAAATGATATCTATGTGCTACAGTGTAAGATCCTGTTTTTCTGTCACACATAGAGTTCAAAGGGAGGACTGATCTGTCTGATGGGAAAATAAAATTTCCAGTGGGGTTATCTGATTTTATGTCATCTCCTGGCTTTGACTAACTCCTCAATAGCTCTGCTTGTCATAAACTTTAAACAGAGACAGATATGTCTGTGAACAAAAACCTAGAGACACGCATCAAGGGCTGCAGTAACAATTTCAAACAAATGCTTTGGCATGTTGGTGATCCCATGTGGCATGTTACACATTACTGTAGGCAGATCACTAAACCAGAGGTCAAAGATTTAAGCCTCATGTATTCAAGGTGTTAAAGGTACAATATACAATGTACACTGAAGGTGTGTATATATTTTTGCCCATTTATTTTCACATTGCTTGCTGAAATCTGCTTCCTGTATTTAGCCCCCACATCTTTCAGACTACCACCACCTTACAACCCATTTATTGAAGACCAGTTTCATCAAAGCATGAGAGCGTCTCTCTAAGATCCCTCCTGTTACATAACATCATTCTAACAGCGATTAGCAAACCCAGAATGTCACAGTGAATAGCATTTAATCTCACTTGGATATATGATGATGAAAGACATGTAATATCTTAGAGGTGGTTACTTGGATGGGGCCACATATTCCAGGTTTGAACAGATTAAAATCTTGGTTGGGCCTATCCACAGCAGTGCAACAACAGGCTTCCAGCTGTGCAAGAATAATAATCCCTCTGTTTTAATCTCTCTGAGCAGGAGGTGATCCGAGCCCTTGTTCGGAAGCCATCCAAGGGCGCGGGGATGCGCTAAGATACAGGTTTGACAGGTTTACCAGTTTAATGATAAGCAATTATGCACCTCTTATATTTTCTGTGTGGAACTGGAAATTGAAGCGTGTGTGTGTGTATGTTGCTCAGGGAGGGTGTCCAACATGACATCTGGTAATGGTTGCAGTATAAACCATAAATCATCTTTTTGGTGGGATTTATGCTTTGCTGTGATGATTATTTGGGCCTCTTATGCTCATATGATGTTTATATGTGCATAACCAGGCATGGGTCCAATTCCACTCACAACAGCATGGGTTTAAAGAGGGAAGGCCTAAATAGTGGGGATTATTCTCTCCCGCTTCTCCCTCTCCCTCTTTCTCTTACCCTATTTTTCAGCATCAGTGCTCAGCCTTTCATTTCAGTTCCTGTTGCTGTGATGACCACAGACATGAGCACAGCAGGTGTTCATCGAGGCTTCCTCAAAAAATATGGTAGGGCTGCTTCTATCCTTTTATCCACAGTAACCCCTCTGCAGTCGTCATGTAAAGTTTGATGTGAATGCTTTGGTCTGATTTTGTTTACTGTCCTTTTGTGCTCATTCTGCAAATTAGGCCAAAGTTAGTAACTATATAGGCTTTTTGAAGATCTCAGTTGCTTTGCTGTCAAATATGACCAAACTATGTCTTTAATTTAGATTTTCTGATTGTCTTATGCTTATTTTCTCCAAGGTGTAATAAATTCTTAGTGTTTATTCTTTTAAAGCCAGTATAGATTATATGGCTGCTGACTTCACAATCGGTGGAAAACAACACTGTCTCAGAACACCAATCCAACTCTTACATGAGCAATGTCAGCCTAAGAGCCAGCCAGTATGATTTTCAAGCCAAGTCATGAACCGGCTCTTGGCCAGCGTCTCTCTTTACTTATATTACATCTGTTTTTTATTGCCCTTGTTTTCATTTCAGAGTGGTGTCACAGTTGATAACAGTTAAGTAGCTATTTTGGTACTTCAAATGTTTTTCTTCCTCTCTTGACTTATGCAGACTAATAGAGCTAATAAAATTTAGGGATATTAATCTAAAGGTTGAAATCTGCAGTCAAATTAATGCAGTTGTTGTCATATTAGTATTCCCAGGTATAGTAGACGCCATAATAACAAACAATCAATCAAAAATTCCTATACCCCCCTCTCTTGCTCGCTTGCAAATCCACCTGCTTTAATCCGCTGTATGGAGAAATAAAGCAGATCTTGTCTGTCAACATGTGCTCACCTTCTACTGTCTGCAGTCTAACACCGTCGTGTGTGTCCTGTCCTGAAAACTCATTGTTCCAAAAATGAGAATATTTCAGTTTCTTTTTAATACAAAAACGCATTACATTTGACTCAAGCTGTTTCTATTGATTTTTGATATTATGGATCTGCCTTGTTTCAAAGACAAGGTATCATTATTTTTGTATTATTATTGGTATTGTTGTTGTTTTCATAAGTTGATCCTGTGACTTTCTCTGACTGTTGTAATTTTTAATCAGTGTGATTTTGAGGCTGCTGTTTGTGCTCATAAAACCCCCCAAACAATTTATTGGACATTGTTATAGTTGTGTTTATGCCACTGCAATAAGTATCCAATTATATCACTGAAACTGACAAAAATAGAACATTTCTCTCAAAGAACCTGCTCATTAAACAATTGTGTTATTTGTTTGTGAAACTTTCAGTTAAGTTAGTGAAAGTGCAAGCATACAACCAAACAAACAACACCGTTATAGTTCTGGACATACAATGCCAGCAGTAACATTACTACTAATACGGAAGTATCTTGATTCATGTTCAATCATCCAGGTAAGGAATTCTCAAAAAGTTGATTCTGTTCATCTGGATGTAACATTTTCAGTGCAACAAATGTTTCGTCACTCATCCAAGTGACTTCTTCAGTGTCAGCTGAATGCCAGTTTCCCTAACCTTATAAACAGTAATGACCGAAACTAACAACACTGACAAACGAAGGGAGTGAGATCAGATCAACTGTCATTGATCAGTGCTGTGGTGTACATTTTAAGACATCTTCAGGTTTCAGGAAACCATCGTCAGACATCAGATCAAACGGTCTCAGATGTCAAACCATAAACAAAAAACATCACATTCCATTGAAAAACACATGAGACTTCTGACTAAACGGCACCAGACTGAAAAGCCTCAGAAAAAACAACTTCAGATGATATGATAAATGGCAGAACATAACATAACATTTTCTCTGTGCTTTTGCTACAGTTATTTTTTTACAGTTGTTTTTCTGGGACTTGTTTGTCTGATTAGTCAGAAGGACCTCCTGTTCAGCTTGTTTTGGCTGTTCTGGCACTTTTTGATTCATCTCCTATTTATGAGCCTACTTGTACTGTTTTCTTTTTTCTGGAGGCGGCTTCATGTTTAAGCAGTGGAAGGAGAAGTACCTTGTGCTGACCATAGAGGGTAACCTGCTGGTGTGCCGGGATGCAGAGTCCCCTCCAGACCAAGTAGTAGCACTACATAGCAGCTGTGAGTCAATTGCAGAGGGACGAGAAATACTTGACCTGCCCAAGTTGCCTCCAGGGGGCAGGAGGGACTGCTGCTTTGCTCTTATCCTGCCACAGAACAAGTTCCTGCTGCTGCTCTCAGACAACCCAGACGACTGCACGTAGGTCTCACGCTCTCTCTTTGTCTCCTTCCCTCTGGAGCTCAGATGTCCTTTACCCATTCACTATCAGTTGTTTTGCACATGGTGGCATATTTACACACACATACATTCTGAAATTTAGGTTTCCTTTGCTCTACTTGTTACCAAATAAATTTACTGCACGTGATTATCAGGCTTCTCTGCTGTTGAAAAAATAAAAAATAAAACTTTGGATCTGTTTCAAACATCATGACATGTCATTATCTCTCACAGGCTCTGGCTGAAAGTCATCAGGAAAGTGAGAGAGGTGAGTTAGGTAGCACTGTTTTATTTAATATTAAAACAAATTGTGTTCTCTATGTTTCTCACTGCTAATTTGTTAGATTCCTCTTCCAATTGTAGACTGTTTATTTCTGTCATATAATAACGTTTACTTTTTCCAATTTGCTAGGGTGTCATGTCACCCCTGACACTCCAGAGACAACGCAGCCTCACTCCCTGCATCACAGATAGAGACCCCCTGCCCGACTCTGCCAGTGATAAAGACCCCGGGTCACCAAGGGTTGGTGAGGGCACCCCTCCTTTGACTAGGGTCACTGAACGGGGAGGCTCCTTCAGAGAGAGAGGGCAAAACCAAGGTCAGGTCTTAGGCCATTTGTAATTACTTGACAGTAGATTGAAGAAGGGTGCTGATTAATTTCACAAAACAGAGAAAACAAGACAAATGAACAAAAACTCTAATCTGGTTAATTAATGAACTAATGGATATAAAACGATTTGTGAATAAAACAAATGGGAAGCACATTCAGAAATTTGACAATACACATTTCTGAAGCATTTATGCCTAAAACTACACATTATCACATCTGTCACACAGCTGTTGCTTTATTACAGTTACAACTGCATCTTAATTACTGAAGCTCTGACTAATTTAATTTGCTAAATGTGATGCATTTGGACAATTCATGTTTCTGTTTTTTCCTTTATATTTTAGTGCTCTGTTGTTTTGAGCATGGCAGATGGTGTCCTTAAGCACCTGCAAAGCCGTAACAGAGCACACAGAGGCAGAGTTGGGGTTAATCGTGTTTTGATCTAATTTTGAGTAATGAAAAATATAGCTTAATTGTATTTCTACTGTGTCCCATTTAATTTAAGTAGTTTATGAATACTAAGTCTAGTACACACATATACACTATTGCCAGTAGTAGTATAATAGTATTATAGTAGCCAGTTAGTATAATATATGCTGTCTGGCTGGTAAATAAGCCAAACTACATATAAATTTGTGAATTTAACAACATTTACATCTTTTACAGCAAATGTGTCACGGCAGCCTCTGCGTAGTGTTTCTGTGGCACCACCTCACCGTGTGTCCGACTGTCTTCGCCATGGCAACAGCAGTGATGCCCGGGCAGTGAGGGCAGTATGCTTACTGATGGGAGGGGCAGCAGCCTCCTCTGCTTTGGGCTACCTCAATTCCTGCTCCCCTTCCTCTCCCCTTGCCACAAGACCCCCAGAAATTGCCCACGGCACAGGGGGCTTCTCTGAGCTTTCTGCTGGGGGCTCCTTCCATGCCTGCAGCCAGGATGTCGATTCCCCACACTTTAACAGCTTCGACTTCGAAGGAGACTCCGACTTTGATGCATTTGACTGTGGAGGATTTGCTTTTTAGTTGACAGGGCTTTCAAATTCCTTATATTGATGTTTGTAATATAAGTATGTTGTTATTTACTAATCAGCTGTTGGGTAATCTGTAGGACTAATTTAGCAATTAATAAAGGTGTGCTTCCTGGCTTTGTGCCAATGCTCCTCAGGTTAATCATAAATAAGCCCGACTCCTGTAAACACTGTCTGTGTTGTATCACTTTTTCCATGCCATGATGACTTGATATTAACTGGGTCAGCAGTCTGATTCCAGTCACACAGACATTTATAAGAACATATTAGTCTCAGATTTCAGTTCAATTCAATAAAACTTCATTGATCCTGAAGGTTGATCCCGAAGGAAATTGGGTATTTCTTTTCTTTTCTTTTTTTTTTTTCAGATTTGGATTTGTGTCATAAATTTGAGAAAAGATGATCTCACTGAATGTTTTCTTTCTCGTCCACATTTCTCTCAGTGTCTTCTGCCCTGCTTTTGGAAATTACCCTTTCACCTGTGTGCACAGTGTAATCATACATGGAATGCAGTTTAAAGGTTAACACATTAAATCCTTTTGTCAACATGACTTTGTGTTTGTCTCTCTAGAACAAACAAACTGCAGCAGTGCAGACATAGGCCAGGGTCTGGGGAGGAGGGATTTTGAAGCAAATCTGTACAAGAGGGGGATATGCATAACCTGAAAATGCACGTGCTTAATGTGTGTATCAAGCAGATTATTATAGTCAAGACATCCATTCATTTTTTCTATCATAAGCATCACTTTTTTAAAATTATATTATGACTGCTTTAAAATACCCAAAGTCTTACTGCTTGGCATTACTTTACTGTTTGACAGCCAGGACAAACAGTAAAGTACAACTTTTTCCTGTTAGAGTTACCCACACTGAAAGGAACAAGTTCTACCATTTCTTGTAGATATAAATCTGACTGAAAAGACAAAAAACAGTTTGAGTAACAGCTAAAATAGCAATGTCATTACATCTCTATCATTGAAGTTCCCTCTGGGTACTCCGGCTTCCCCCCATAGTCCAAAAACATGCAGTTAGTGGGTACAGGTTAATTGATTAATCTAAATTGCCCATAGGTGTGAATCTGTGCGTAAATGTGAGTGCGAATGGTTGTCTGTGCCTCTATGTGTTAGCCCTGCGACAGACTGGCAACCTGTCCAGGGTGTACCCCGCCTCTCGCCCTATGACAGCTGGGATAGGCTCCAGCGTCCCCGCAACCCTGGAAAGGATAAACGGAAGCGAATGGATGGATGGATGACAAATCAAAACAACAATCACCTCAAGGTGCTTAATGTTGTAAGGCTAAAGACCCTACAATAATACAGAGAAAACCCCCACAATCAAAAGATTCTCTATGAGCAAGCAATTGACAGTGGAAGGAAAAACTACCTTTTGACAGGAAAAAAAAAACAGGCTAATCAAGGAGCAGCCAGGTTGAAGGCTGAGGTTGAAGGAGGCAGGCAGGATGAAAGACACACTGTGGAAGAAAGCCGGGGATTAATAATTACTAATGATTAAATGCAGAGTGGTGTGTAAACACAAAGTGAGTAAAAAAGGTGAGTGAAGAAGAAATGCTCAGTGGATCATGGGAAGCCCCCATTAGACTATCCGTATTGCAGCATAACTAAGGGATGATTCCAAGAGCATCTTGGATCAACTGAAGGCTTTTTGGGGATTTGTGTTTGATTTGCATTTTTAGCAATCCCACAAGTTTTCTCAGAAAGTTTTCTTGATCTTACTTACACATCACCCTGGCAGCTGCCATTTCCTAGGCAAACTTGCTTTGCTAACTTCTCTTGCTTCACAGGGATCAGGTATTTTGTTCCTATAATCATTCTAGAACCTTACATACGGTTTGCATTGTGTTCTCACACAAAAACAGTTTCAGCAAAACTGGTTTACAAACATTTATGTCAATAAGCAAAAAATGACATTTAGCTAATCTTAACAGTTTTTTTTAAAATACCAATCTTCAGAAAAGAGAGGAAGTTGGGAATCCTTACATCACATAGCTCACAGTCTCCTATTACAGAGCTTATTATCTGTCCCTTCCCCCCAGCTAGCCACCATGGGGCAAAGGGCTTTTTGCTGCTCTGCTCCTCGACTCTGCAATTCCCTTTCCCCTCATATAAGAAATATCACCTCCCTCTCTCTTTTTAAATCTAGACTCAAAACTCACCCGTTCACAATAGTCTACTTGACATGAGCTTCTCCATTCTGCTATTTTAAATTTGCTCTACGTTTTATGTTTATAATTTTATAAATTGCTATGCCTGTTGTTGTTTTGCTTGTCTCTATTCTGCTGTGTACAGTGTCCTTGAGTGTTTTGAAAGGTTCTTTTTTTTAATTAAAATGTATTATTATTGTTAAGTAAGTCCTTGTCTTTACAAACTTTGTCAGAGTGTCTGTGGAAATGGCCTCGCTAGAAGTCTGACTAGCTATCCACACAGCTAAACATGAACCTAGGAACTCCAGACAATAGATGAGATCTTATGAAGTTTACTGGTTCTTTCATTTTGTGAAACTGTAACAATAAAGCATATGTGGAAATGTACATTACTCATCTGTACTGTTTTAACAACAACATGTGCCAATGACCTAACAATGCATTTGAGAAGCTAGCATGACGATTAGCACCGCTAATTAGCATATGAACTGGCGATCTTATTTACATATGAATAGCACATAGAAAACTTGTTAACTGTGGTCCATCACACATAAAAACAACACTTGGAGTGTCTCATTGCTTTTTACCATTAAATACTTACAGACAATGCTTTAACAAACACCCAAAGAAGGACACAAATGTGGAGCAGCCATCTTGAAACAGCATAGCAAGAAAACATGAACTTCCTGTCTAACTCTTCTTCTACTGTCACAAAATATCGACTTAAAGGGGCCACAGGGTGGCGCATTTTACTAACATTTAAAACATGAAATTAACTAAGCGGTAACATAACAGTCTGTTTATTTACCTTGTGTGTGCCCTGTCAGTGTTCATTTTCTGTTTACTTTTGCATCTAGACTGACGTATTTTCTGGGTTAGTTCAGTTGTTTGCCTTCGAGTCTGGCATTTGAAACTATTTCTTGTCAA